AGGCGAAAACAAAGTATCCAATTTCTCCACTTCCCCACTTCCGACGCAATTACGACACAAAGTAGCCGGCGAGCCGACCGCAACCCGGCCGGTATCTCAGCTCGGCCGCAATCTCGTTACGGAACATAAAATACACTTTTGTTACTTCGTGTTAGTGCTTTTCGCAAGAGGCGCTCAAACAAAAGAGTGTCCTAAGAATGGCATAAACCACGAGCAAGCGTTTCCCGTCGTCGCTCTTCGAGCGGTGTGCAGCGCGCCGTGAACGAGCCGGTCTCGTCCCCGCGAGGCACCGCGATCGCATTAACTAATTGACACTGACCCCCACATACGAAATTGCGCTCTGTAAATCATCACTCATCCGATTCAAACTTCAAGCTGTCACAACGCTGACAAACGTGCTCGTCCCGACAAAGTGTCACAACGAATTGATGTTCAACGGAGAATCAGCCGGCATTCTTTGCTTGTTAGTTATGCTCCTAGCACAAATTGTATAAATGAAAGGATTATTGTGAGATAACTTGAAAATTAATTTATTGGTCTCATTCGAAATAATTCATTGCTTGAAATTTTAACAAATAAACTATAAATAAATCAAACGCAAAAAGTAAAGCTTAAGATTCACAAAACCACTACGTCAGTTAACAAGTGCCAGTTCGAATGAAAAGGAAACAATGACTTGAAGTGTGTGAGATTAACCCCTGTTCCCGCAAGAGTGGTTCAATGAAAAGCCCTAATATTTACAGAACGGCAGAAATTCCTCTGAACAACATGAAAGCTCTTTTGACTCGGAGCGTTGCGATCCATTAAAGACACTTTACGTAGACTTGAGGGCACCCGAGACACGGCACCAGACTATTTAGACCTCCCCGGTCTCACAATCGGGTTGTATTTACCTTTTGATTTGTAAGGTCTTTCCTTTTTGGACGATCAAATTACTGTGATATCAAAAACATTCATTGTGACACAAGCATGTGAACCGTAACGCCGTTGTAAATTTAGGCGCTATCAATTGAGACGTTAAATCGTTAGCATCTTCTAAATTTACATGCAAAAATATGTGTAAATGAAGTTTAAGAGCATGTTGTGAGACAATGTTAAGAAATTTTATCAAAAAGATGTTACAATTCTGCAGTATTCCTCACTTTATTAATGTAATAGTCCATTAACCGTATTAATAAGACACGAAAAATATAAAATGTACAAGCAAAATAAAACTAAATGACATTGTACGCGCAACGATAATAAGAAAAGCGCAGTCAAAGAAAATGCTGTTATAAATAACTGAGCTAGAGATGAGTTAACAATCAAATAGAGCAACAATAGGAGTGCGCAATTTGATGTACAATGCGGATAATGGGCAGTTTGCGGCTTGAATGCATTATCGCCTACGTTGTTGCTTCGGCTGAAAACGGTTCTATCCTGTGCGCGTGACTCAGCCGCAGTGGCGCGGTCAAGTTCAACCTGTATATTCAATTTAAATTGTTGCGCTATTTTTAAACACACAATTGAGCCTTTGTTCGTTGTAAACATATTAAATCTTAACAAGTAATTTGACTTTTTTAAACAATCTTTTGACCATTTAAACATTTGAACTCTAGCTAGAAATCTCCGGTAAGTCAAGTTATCGTGAAAGTACGTCTGTCCATCACGATAAGCTGATTCTTGGAATCAAGTAACAAATAAATTAGACATGTAGAATTAGAAAACCTTATATCTATAACTTACTTGGATCTGTGACGAGCTGTGCGTATATAGAAATAGCGACATTGTCCTCGCTGACGAAGTCCCAGAGGCCGTCGCAAGCCACCACCACGAAGTCCTCTTTTCCATTCAGTTTCACAACCTCCATTTCCGGGCGGGCTGTCACGTACGGCTTGTATTTTGCGTCCCCTGCACATACATTTAATTTTTATGCTAAATCAGAAATAGTCTTAGTCAACGATCATGCACTGCTGGAGATACGGTTCATCTCTACAAGGTACAGTGCCCTATCAACCTTACCCAGTGAGAACCTTAGATTTACAAACCCATACTTTTGGGACTTTTTTTATCTCTTATATACATTTTCTCTTTCAATACACGCGCTATACTACTAGCAATGTATTGTTGCATAACAATTTTGACATTGATACAATTCTGCATTGAGTCACAATGACAAAAACTATAAGGCCGTGTTTATTTAGACTTTTTAGACGTTAAACTGGGACAGAAAACGAAATGAGTAGTTTTTGTCACAGATAAAGGCGAAATATACTTTTTAGGCGTGATTACAGTGTATTTTGAAGTAAAGTTTTAGTACACCCAGCACGTATTCTCTCGAATGACCCGAATACATTCTTTACATAAAGAAAATCATACGCCGATACAATACATGTCCTAATCTAAGTCTGTTGGCACTTTGTTATATTAAGATGATCATAGGAACAAGACAACACTCCCCTATCACACTTGACCCTCCTTCTTTCACATAAATTGGCCTACATTCTTTTAAGTGCCTTGTCAACTTACACCGTTCAGTATTGGCCTCTTAAACCTCCTCGCTTTATAAAAGAGGATACGATATCTTAGACGACCTACGAATAGAGAAACTAGTAAGTTAATGTAGCGAATAATTTACTGATTAAAATCTTAAATCTAGGACAAGATTCCGACTTTGATCAGAAAAGATTCGAATATCAGATGAGAATAAATGCCTCAAATAAATGCACTTAAAGGAAGCCTAAAGACTAAATTCGCATTAAATACTTTGATAGCCGATATGGAGTCGATGTTGCGTGAAAGTTAGCGGATAACTTACACCGAAAGCCGAGGGGAGTTGCACGAACACATCGGAACTTAATCTCCCATGGAATACGAAATCGATGAATTTCTTCGAAACGAGCGAGGGAATCGCCACGATACGAAACGTTTCGTACAAATGTCAACACTACTGGTGCGAAGTTCGAATTCGAAGAGAAAAATGTAACAAAGTTCAGAATTTTATTTTGAACGTATAGTCAAGTATTTAAGATAGTAAAAAATAACTGTTAAGCGAATTACTTGGGTTTTGCATTCCCTTATTGGATATTGATATCTCCATATCGTATGTATGTCAATGAACCCGCAGATGTTTACTTAATAGCTCAAATATTTTATGAACTCTATTTTAATATTATTTATTACCCTTATTTATGTTGTTCCCAGATAATTTTCTTATTACATTAAAACATTATACCTTTTATATTTACCAAATATAATAAAATATGCACGTTATTCTACACATTTTTAATTTACTAATCGTATAACATTTTAGTTAAAACGTGTGAAGTGCTAACATAAAGAATTAACAAAAATAATTCCAAAGGATTATAATTGTATTTCAATAGTAATATGCATACAAAGAAACTTTATATTTATAGTTGTTCTAACGGTGAGTATCCACTGTTGAAACATCTGTGCTCAAAGATATCGCTATCTCATATATTTTAGAAGGAAAGAAAGAGTCGACATTAATTCATTGTATGAATTGACATTTGACATAATGCGCAACTCGCAAGAGGAAAACTTAATATAGGTTGTGGTTCCATGAATTCTGACGAATTTCTTATAGATAAAGCTACTACTTAATTGGCAATGCTCGTACCAATGAAACTAATACTAATCAAGTACTTATTCGCCTATTTCATAACTATGAGTGCCTTAAAATATTATATGGTTATTTATTACACAATAGATATCTTCACTACAAAAAATTAATCATAAATAATTTAATTGTGTTAACAATTTGAGTATTACTTTGTAGACAGGATAAAACGTTTTAATAGGGAACAAAGGATCGATATTGTCAGAGGCTTGACCTTGTTGTAAGTGCATAGTGTCCGCGGTGATCGATATGGTGCCGTGCAACGTGGGGCCGTGTGAAGGGACGAGGGGCCGAGGGGTCCGCATGAGGGGACGCCGACGCGCGCACACCGATTGAGTTGTAAATTAAAACAGTTGCATTGTCTCAAAGATATTCGGGTGAGGGGACGTGCTGGAGCAAACAAATACACTTTGTGTAATTTTATTGCTCATTTATTTTTAAACAATAACATATCACGGTCTATAAATCTCATTAGAAAGTAACAAAAGACTTTTCACCTACATAAGTATACCTTGCCAAATAAAAAGTTAATTTATAAGACTATGCCTGAAGTCACTCGGTTGGTAGATTATTATCAGAATAGACTTAAAATATACTTAAATATAACTCAATTTCATATAAACGTATTTGAAAACCATATATGTGTATACGCAACTTAGCATAGAAAGGACATTGGAATTTCGGACAGAGTAAAAGAACAAGTTCATTACCATAGTAATTATTTATTGCAGCCGTGTGAACCAGAGTGTTGTACCTTATTTGGTGTAATGTAGCAGGTCTGAGTCCGGTGCCATATTAGTGTAATCAAGTAAACGATACTTTACATAACTTTCGCAAGGGTCATTGCCATACCTCATACATGTTTCAAGATCTAGAAACGTAACTGATCAACTCCTAAGTTCGTGGCCACTCAAGTACAGATCAAATTTCTGTACTTATCTTATTTTCAAACAACCCCTAACAACTTCAGAAATAGTTGCTATTCTTTTTTTTTATATAAGAGAAGGGGGCAAACAAGCGGCGGGTACATCGAGCTGATCAACGACACCCATGGACATCTGCAACACCAGAGGAACTGTAGATGCATTGCCGGCCTTTAAGAAAATGGTATGCTCGCTTCTTGAAGGTCCCTAAGTATTCTTAAAGTAACCATTGTCGAAAATTGACTTGTCATATTTGTTTAAATAAAGCAGGGTGTAACATACGAAGCTACGAATATAATGCATCTTAATACTCCAATTGTGTACACTTCCTTCTAAAAGAATATCAAACACATCTGAAATTAGTGAGGGCATTGTAAAAAAGGATGACAGGGCTTCTCTCCGGCAGTACATTGGGTCGCTAACTGCTTAATGGCGGACACACGCCGGAACGGGCGCCGGCAACGATTGCGGCTCATTGTGAGAAATGACTACGCACCGCTGGCTGGCGTTCCTAACAATATAACGAGCGATTAAACTACGCCTTCTCGGCCCATTGCCTTTATTTATATCAGCCCTTTATTCCGTCTTGCCTAAAGGTAACATGATTCTTGAGATTTATTACTGTAAACATAATAGTCCAGAAAATATAACGATGGGCTTTTGAATCTAGATTTATAGCAAAACTGGTAATGTTAAAATATAAAACTTTCTGGACAGTTTTGCTTATTTTAGGTTATCTAAAGATGTAAATAAAGTAACAACGATAACTAGTAGAATAACATGATTTATAGTAAAGGTTCATCATCATCAACCTGCCCTTATCCCTATCGAGGGTCGGCACAGTATGTACTACTCCTCCATACATTTCTATCAGCCGTCATATCCAAGTCTACCCCCTTCCTACGCATATTCTCTTTCACACAGTCATTCCATACTTTATTTGGTCTTCCTCTACCTTTGTAGCCATCCACATTTATAGTAAAGGTTGTTTGTCGTAAACTCTATTTAGTGGTGACAAGGCCTTGGTCAACAACGATAGCCCAGCGCGGGTTCACTTCACACATATATTTGAATCTCCACACATGCGTGCAGGTTGCATTACGACGTTTTCCCTCACATTTCAGGGTGGAGTGTTACTTAATTCTAAAATTGTACATACAATCTGTTATATTGTTAGACCCAAAGACGAAACATCTAAAACTGTTTGACATAAATACGTGCTACAAAAACATTACTAAATGTACTACATTACTAAAGTTCTAACTTTATACATATTTAAACACAATTTAAAAAAATTCAGCAAAAGTGCATAAACTTTTGCTGAATTTTTTTTCAGGCCATTTAAAAATGTGAATAAAGAGCAACAGGGCAATCTTGTCTTTCCTTATTGTTCTTAAATCCTTGACTATAAAGCTAATGGCGTTTAAATAACAGACCTTGACAGCCAGGATTAAACATTTTTGTTTGTGCTTATATTACAAAAAGCCTTATAACTTACCAATAGCTCTGGAGACAGCCAGTTGTCCGTTCACCCGCCACGTGCCGTAGTGTGTTACAGTTCCCCCAGACGAGACTATTCTCTCTCTTTCGTCCTGTTCATAAAATTCATATCAAAATTAAATAAACAACAAATATGATTGTCAGCTACCCTATGAAACTCTGGCAGGTGAGTAATGGACGAGCTTAATTTGTATATCTCGGAGTCAAAAATTACCAAAATAAAGTACAAATGCGTTTAAAAATATTTGTTGGTTGAAATTTAATCGAAGTCCACTGAAGTGGTCGGACCAATACACTATTGACAAAATATAACACAGTTGAAAGTTTCAGTATATTGATGGACAAATAAGTAATCTTCAGAGAGATGTTAGCAATGTTCGCACAGATGACAATTACGCCATTTTTTAATATCTTAACGTTTCCTGTTCCGTCGCATATAGACTGACCAGGAAATAGAAAACCTATCATAGGTGCGTTGCCGTCGTCTTCATGTGCATGAAAAAATTGGTTCTTTATCATTCCGCCATATGGTAAGAGATGGGCGTCGCCAGGAGGAGGAAGGTTCAGCTTCTCCCATAAAGAATTTAAAAATGTGCAATAGATATAAAAAAAATTGGTATAAGACCATATTAATCGTATCTACCCTACCCAAGACATAGCCTGGCGACGCACATGCGGTTAAATGTTTTATATTTCTGGTCAAACTATGATATATTGCAGTATGTATGATGCTGACCGGTCTGTCGGGCTTGTGTGGGTGTACGAGCTGCCGCAGACGCATGCGCTTGGCGAGCAGCGCCAGCGAGTCCCCCGCCCAGGCAGCCAGCAGGCAGCGGCCGCGCACCGCCACCACCACCGCAGTACTGCCGCCACACGCGCGCTGACCACACACATACAAACACAATTCATTACATTCACACTACTCATCACTAAAATGCATAGGCGATTACTTGAAAATGACAGCTTTTGCTGCGTTCCGATTTAAAAACACCTGTTGATGTTTCGTAACAGCTAATTCTATCTATTTTATTCGATTGAATCCATTCTACCGCTACAAACCGCTATCAGCGCCAAAATGGCGAAAATCAAATAGGCACAGAATACGTCTTATAGCCAGTCCATTTATAGAAGATTGCCACTATACAGCATGTTTCAAATAAAAATTGTCATAGCTAATAGCCTCACACTATAGCAATTCAGTTCCACTTCAGATTTATTTTCAATTTTGACCACAACATGAATTTCAGAAGTTGGTTATACTATCACCATGATCTTCCTGCCTCGGATCCAAAGTCAAAATATCTACTTTGACTACGGAGTCAGGGCTGTATAGCTTATCATTGATTAGAGATATAGCCTACCAAAATTTCAAAAACCTATAGAATTCACGTCAATTTTTTAATTTTATTATATATTTTAACAATTCTACTGCCAATGTCAATAATCAAATAATGCTTTGTCTACTGGAACTGATTCCAATCTTTATACAGTCATTCTAATATAATAAGATTAAAGCAAATAGCTAAGCATGAATTAAATCAGATATCGCACCCTTTGATTACTTTTGCTGACGAACTCCGCGTCAGTTCTAAGGAATGCTTCGAGCATAGCGCGCTGAAGGTCTGTGCGGAAGTATGGACTATCCACCAAGTACTGGTGCAGATGAGCCGCGCAGTACGTCGCCGCAGCTGAACCGGCATGACCGTCGTACACTGCATAGAAACTTGTCGGCTCCGATGTCTGGAAATATAGAAAAATTAATAAACTTTGATGTAATACTAGAGATTATATTCAAGGAGTGTCTATGTTAAAATAGCCAGAATCACTGACGACTATTTTTAATTACCTTTACGTATACGAGCTAAATTAAAAATGTGTTAAAATATTACTGAAGCTGGTTACACTTCAAAAATTAACAAGTGCATTTTTACATGATATAAGAAATGATAGAATACACATAGCACCTGCCCACTACGGAGATTGCAATAACCGAGGCCGGGAATTGGTGCAACTGCGTTACGCTAGATTGCATTTCAGTGGTTGTACTAATGAATTCACATTTTACACGCCAATATTTAATTATAATCATTACTTATTTAATTAAAGTATTTTAACACTTCATCATTATCCATGAAAATTAATAATTAATAACTTAATATCAGATTAAATCCTATTTCTACAAGAATTGCGATTAGTAAAAGATGTCTTTAGAGCAGAATACGAATGGTTTTGTAAAAACGTAATCTACAAACTCTTCATCATACAGTAGACCCACCGTCTAACCCTCTTTTTGGGGTATACAATTTCGCGACAAACTATTCTGGGTCACAAGAAATTAAGGTAATTAGTAACCAGGGAGTGTTCACGGTGGAAAATACGGCCACAAGATGCATTTATAATAGGTCAAAAGCATGTTCCTTCAGTTTCCAAAGTTTAATTTTCTCGTAGCATAAGACCTATAGAAATGTGAGGTTAATGGTTCTAATGTTCCATTAGACTATAGAAATATTAAACCCAAAAAATTCTTAACATTTCCATGATATATTTTTTTTACTAAAAGTCCCGTCGTATTATATATATCCCAGTAAGCAGAAACGTGCTCTTTCTCATATAGATGTGAGATTGACCTACTTTCTACGCTCGGAAATATTCCGGAAACAACATTGATTGGGCGGATTACTTCGGTTAATGCGGATTTCCCCAAACTCGAGCCGACGTTAGGGAAAACGTTCCGAATTCTTTTATTGTTATGTCCTCATTCCCGAAACACTCGTCAGGGAACCAAAAACTCTGCTCTCAAATTAGACTTTTTAATATTAATAATTTAGAACATAGCAAGCTTATAGCTTGGTATATCTTAGACGCTTGACCACATTTATAGTTTTTTTTATTTAGGATGTGAAAAATATATGCACAACAAGCACTAGTTTTCATAATCGCAATCCCCGGCGCAAGCAACATATTACAATGCTTGCTCAGATTGCGCTTTGTTCGAGTAACAAAAGGATGGAGACTAGTCGTTTGTGAAGCCCCTGACGCCACATTGAAAAAATAGTAATTATACAACGCATAATTATGTACAGTAAAATTAAGAAACGTCGAGATATGGTCAACAAATATGGGTTATATAGGTTTTGTAAATGTGATTACGCTTATGTAACTGTAATTATAACTTACATCGATGCCGAAAAGTGCTTCCAAGTTGCCAATAACTACATGTCTGTCTTCCATGGTACGTCGCATGTTTTTTGTGGCAGCAGCAACAGTACGCGCCTCGCGGTCGAGTGGCGCCGGCGGAGGCAACGAGTCCAGCTTTGAGTTATCCTGGTAGCGCAGGCAGACCTCATTCACGCGCGCCATCACCGCCTGCATCAGCTTCAGCGCAATGAACACTGAAACGTTAACGAACAACATGTTATTGTTACTGCATATTAACATTATCACCACCACAAAAACCGCCGCTTCATAATTCATTAATGATTACTTAATCAGTCATTCTTCATAGATTTCTATATTAAACGCTAAAGTACTCCCTTAGCAACCAATTAACAATTGTAGGTGTAGCATACAATTGTGGTACTCATTTCCATGTTACAAAAGATTATGTACTGATTAGGGTAGAAGCTGTTTTCAAAAAAATATTTCCAAATACTCCGAAACAAACATTATCAGCGTACAGTCAGCGTCATATAGATCGTAACAGACAAGATATGCAAATATATAGGTACACCAAAAGTAATCAATTATATCGGTACAACAAAAGTCCTCAAATTGATAGATACATTCACCCTGCTCAAATACATCGGTACAAACAACCACAATTTAGAAATATAGAACAATTTTAGAAAAATGGTTTGATGCAAAGTGTCAAATGAATTTAACAGAAATAGTTTATTCAAAAGAAATTCAGAATTTAAAATACATTGGCGACGAGGATAAAACCGTGAGTACGGAAATAAATTGTATTTGAAAAAAAAGGAAAGAGAAGACCAGAGTGTAAAAAAAAGTAACATTTCAGTAATTGATGGACGAAAGTATTGTTTAAATTATTATGTCTTACCTTACAAAAAAAAATTAAAATAGAAGGTAATGGATTGGTAAAAATAGCAACAGTCTTGTCTGTTTACATATGATAGTTATTTGTAAAACGTGGCCTTAAGCTGTTCCTAGCCGTGAATGTAAACTTAACCAATTGAATGTCGATATAAGATCACAATATTTGACTATCAGAGATACAGATTCATTGCTGTACTCGTCCGTCTAAGTTGTTCCCTACAAAGTGCATTACGATGTCTCATCGATATACATGTGCAAGCGACAAATTAATTCCAGTCTATTGAAGAAGCAGGAAATGAATAATGAATAAGAAAAGAAAATATCAAACTATTACAATAATAAAATAAACATTACTTTACTACGAGGGTAGTATACCCACGACATATACCAATATTGTCATTATTTCGACCAAAAACAATAATCAAATGCATTTTTAAGACTGTCTTCGACCTTTGGTTGACAAATTGTGTGTAGTTGGATAATAGCATTCCGCGATGTTAATCTCGGTCAACCTTATGTGTATACGTAAGTTCAATAACATAGGTACAGTCACCTTCAATAAAGTGCAAGTACTTTCGCACGAACAGCGGCGGTTGTATAGACGATATAAAGTGTCGACTGGCAATCACTAGGTCAGTCGATATGAGACCTTGGAGCCGGCAAGTCGTTCGTGAACGACCCAAATATAGTCCAACGAATGATGAAGAAGAAGAAGAAGAAGAAGAAGAAGAAGAAGAAGAAGAAGAAGAAGAAGAAGAAGAAGAAGAAGAAGAAGAAGAAGAAGAAGAAGAAGAAGAAGAAGAAGAAGAAGAAGAAGAAGAAGAATTTGTTGTACCGATATAATTGATTACTTTTGGTGTATCTATACATTTGCATATCTTGTCTGTTACGATCTATATGACGCTGAATGTACATTGAATGGGCCTTATCTAAAGTGTAGACATGTGTGTATACATTAGAGAGTAACAATGGAATTTCGAAGATTATAAAAATTTAAATAAAAATGATGAAAGGAAAGGAAATGCACAAAACCGACTTAAACTATAGTACTTTTATAAATACGAATATTATCATATATCCCCCCACACATAACCCACATTAAATATTAATCCACTGTTTAATATGATAAACAAATAAACATTCAAGGTCTTTGATTGTTGGCCAATCTAAACGTCTCAACATGCAAATAATACCTAAGCTCGAGGGACGGAATTTAGTTCAAGTATTTTGAGATACATTGAGTGAATATTGATTCAGTTCACCTGACACAAGTTATTGATACTTTATGCAGAAATATGAATATTGCTATGACATATAGCTGTTGATAAAAGTTGTAATATTTACAAGACGTAAAACTCCTTAATATATAAAATTTTCAGAAAAAATACTTTCTCTGTTCATTATAAGTATAACAAATAATACGAGAAGGTCTCCATTATTTATTTTATTCTTACAAAGAAAGAGAACTTTATACATAATTTATACATGCGATTGTCGTCTCTCGGAGAAACTCTATTATTATGTTGTTTGTAGAACGAAATGTATTGTACGAAGTTTCGTTTTATGTTTTTTTATACATATTTAACTTTCCTAATGTTTGGCTTTGTGTTACTTTCAGGCCATATGTAATGCTGGTTGGTTACGAGTACGACATTGTTACACTTACTGAAAATTATCTGTGTAACTTTGATATTGGTTTTTACAGCCTTCATACAGATGTCTGGCTGTGAAAACTAATAATAACGATCTTCCAACGATATCTAAAATTCTTTGAACCCACGTGAATAGCGCCTGTCAATTTTATTTAGAACGCTTTGATTTCCAAGCTTTTCTCTTTGTAATATAAGTGTTTAATTTTTGTTAATAGAAAGCCTTAACACTCAGAGTGTTTGCAATTCCAATAACAAAATTAGTTTAACTAATGTTTGATATAGGTCCAGTTTCATTGGAGACAAAGTGGAAATACTGAGATGCAACAAAGCATTGCATACGATTATTGATTGTAAACAGTTTAATATATTGATACATTGCTCTTATGAATTCGTCCTCGATAATGCTTTTGTTTTCATGAACAACGCACAAGTGCTGTAACAATTGAATTATTCATCACTACAACTCGGTTTATTTTATTTACTAGTACAATTTACTAACACTCATTCATTAACACAATGAATAAGAGAAGAGAGAAAAAGTATTATATTATATTGGCAATAACAAATATATAAACGTTACATGTGTGCGTGATACCTAACCATAGACCACAAACTGAAGTAAAATTATTGTTCGACCTAATCAAACAACCTTCTTACATTTAATCAAAGACAATTGACAAATTAAATTCAGATTTATTTTCATTTTAAAACCGTTATTGAACAAGGAGACTGGTCGAGACTTTTTGAATGGCAGCTAAAGTATTGCATGGTGGTAAGAGAGTTTATTTATTCCTATTATAAACAGTATATGTACTCTGACAAAAAAACATATTGTGCAATAATTAAAACCCTTGAATAAGTCCCTGATATTTGTCTACTCGAAAAGCTCAGTATGTTCAAAATTATTTTAATAACGTATTTATAACTTCGAATGTATTTAAATATTGTTGTATATATGATTGTTAACTATAAGCTGTATTGCTTAATTAAAGAATACATAATGAACACATCATATTATTATATTCTATTATTTTTTATACATAGATACCTAAATAGTAAATACTTGTAGTGTATATTATGCAAGAAACGTATCATAATTATAAAATGTCTGTTCATAATGGGCGGAAGGTATAAACCGTTAGGAAGATTTTAGTACCGCTGGTTTTAATAATGTCAAGACTTGGCATGAGCACTGTCGTGCCCCAATGATGCCAATGTAAAAAAAAAGAACACTTTAGTTTTAATAAAGTTATTCTTTTAGACAAAGACAATTTCAAAGATCCTTAAAATTACAATATACTCATTATGGCATAAACCCGTGAAGTCGATGAAGTAACGGACAAACGCGATAATACAATGATATCATATCTCTACAAAAATCATACAGAATAGTTTCATCATCATCATCATCATCAGCTCACTATACGTCCACACCGAGAGGCTAGGAGCCTACCCTAAGTTAAGGGTGATTAGGCCATAGTCAACCACGCTGGCCAAGTGCGGGTTGGTTGACTTCGCACATATCTTTGAATTACTTCTCAGATATGTGCAGGTTGCATCACGATGTTTTCCTTCAGCGTAAGAACCTCGGATAAATGTACATATGTAAATCGGAAATCGAAAAACACATTGGTACATAGCGGGATTCGAACCCAGGACCTGCAGATTGCAAGCCAAGTACTTGACCGAGCTGACTGAGCCACCGACGCTCTACAGAATAGTTTGCCTTCACGCAATTCCTAACTCAGATTATCTATTACTGGATAAGTCTAACCTTTTTAAGTTTTAAATCACTTTACTATCCAATGGTCTATGGTACAGAGCAAGAGATTACCTACTAAATATTAAAAAAACACAACACAATAGACCTACCACTTGTGAGTTGTGAGACATATCATATATCGATACCTTAACCTATTCTTAAAACTTTATTTCCAACAGAGGAACCAAAACGCAATGAATTTTGCGCTAACTGCAATTAAATAAATGATGACTGGAAAACTTAAATTTAAAAAAAAAAACGAATTAAAACAATAAACCAATAAAAATGAACAAAACAAAAATCAACATTCCATTTCTTTATCAGCTTGAGTAATACGTAAAAAGGCGCCTAAAACATATACGTTCCGTTTATCTGTGCTGAAAGGTAAATGACCGAACGTACCTGATTCATTAGGGTCGAAGCCGAAGTCGAGGGGGTGTTTCCTGGCTTCCGCTGTCACCTCCTCCAGGATTATCCTGCAGAGCGGCGTCAACAACGTCGGTGGGCATTGTCTGTAACAAGTGCGGAAATATTGAGTGCACGCATACAAATGTACGCAACATATAATATATAGATAGGTACGAGATATAAAATGTATATGCACTATACAAGTTTTTTAATATAAATTGTACAGAGACTGAATAATGGTTAAGAAGATTAATAATAATGAGATCATTGATAAATAACTTTGTATTATAAATGCATTGCTCTAATGACAAATATAAACTTCCCCTGTGACCTCTGATTGGGAACTCGAAAACTATAAAAACAAAACAAAACAAGAACGTGTGATTTCCTCCGATGTCCGGTTATCCGGCTCGAACGATGTGGATTCACACGGATACTCTGAGAATACATATAAGCTTATATTTGCTTTGCTTTATGCCAACCAAATTACAGTATTGAAAATGTTCGATAAGCAAATATCATTGTCCTTTTGGACTGTTCCCAAGATTTTAGATAATCCGGGGAACAGACCAAAGACCGGCACAAATTGTTTTCTCCATGGAATATTACGTGAAAATGTAATTAAATCCCGGAATCTAAATTCCTATTCCAAAGCCCAAAACCCCCCAATACTTGAAAAGGTTAAACAGGTAATGCTAAACAATTCATTTCATATACCGTGTTTAATTGTTGCATTTATATGGCAATGTTCTAAGCACAAATAAATAAAGATTATATACGCTTACAAGAGTATAGAGATAAAATGATTAGATTAGAACCTGCCTTTATATACAATCAATGCACACTGACTTGTGTGTGGTTTGGCGGGCAAGGCAATGTTAACGTACTCATATCTAAGGCTACAAGCACTTCAAAATATTGTTTGAATTAAAACAATGAAATCGAATTGTATAAAATTAAGCGAATCTATAATCTGCACAGCGAAGCCAATATGGACATGTTCTATTGTGTTCCAAATATTAATCAATGTTCGGATTAATCAATGGTTCATGATTAATAATGTAGGGTTTGAAACAGCAGGTATATTATGTTTCAATATAAAAACATCTTAATAAAAACAAACAAAATATATTGTGTTGTTTACGCATATTTGTAATAAAAATATACATATAAACATGTAATGGTAAATCGAGTTTTAAAACATACAATCTAGTAAACCTTGTTTTTATATAAACATTGTTTACACATGTCGGATATTTGTAAATGTCACTAATCTACCTCGGCCGCTAGATATTCCGACATAACAATAACTGTTCAATGTAACAAGAAAAGAAAAAAGAAGAGAGTATTCGTGATATTATTTTGTTACTTTTTAGTGCATTTTGTTTAGGAATATTTTTTTTTATTTTTTTTACATGTAAAGTAAATTAAACGTAACATAAGTCGAGCGCGAGAAAATGACCAGAGAAAATAACGTATACATTCACATTTTCTCCCTAAGATTCCTCTAGTTTCCTGAACTGGAGTAACGAAATAAAATGCGGACGCCGACGTCTGTCTGTACGACATAAAAAGGTCATTGCCCCTGCTCCCTCATTTATAAAATATAACATGAAAACATAGACGTGTCTTATGATTGAAATAAAACTAGAAGAGAATTTAACAACGTAGACTTTTTAAGTTATTTGATCTGCGATTGTACTACAGAGTGGACATTAAAGTTGTTTCGTTTTTAATGAAGCTCGCATATGGGTGTTCCGCGTTTAAATCTGGACACTCAGAGACTTTTACACTTTGAACGGATATATTGGATTTAATATAACTATATAGCATTAAAACATAACTTTAACGAAAGCAAGAAAGGTATTATAGGTACTATTTTGTTGTTTTTATGGGTTATAGAATTACAATGGGAAAATTTTGTTTTTAGCATTTTGTTTAAAATTATTAATCAAGCATACTATTAATAGAAATATTTTAAATATAAATAAACATTTCGGACCTTTCAATATTATATTAGATGTAAAGTTTAATAATTGACAGATGAATACTATAGTGTTTTTATAAAACGTCTTCACTGGCACGAAGATTTGAAATCTTTATCGGATTTTTTTCAAAATACTACCGCAAAATCCTTGACACAATAGTATATTGAGAGTTTGAACAATGACTGGGTCATTCGCACACTTACCATAATATGTTTATTATTTACCGCCGACAACGAGGTAAATTTGCATTAAAATCAAATATGTGATTTCGCTGTCATATTAAAATCATAGAATAATAAATAAAATACACAGGTACGTAACAGTGAAATCTATGTCTACATTTGCGCAAATTATTTTTCAATTATCAAAGATCACAGGTCAAAATAAATAGATATAATGTTGTTAAGGGTCACACTACGCCAATCACAAGCTTTGGATATAAACTATCAGCACTTTTTGATCGATTTAGGGCCGCTGTACACTGACAGCTTAAAAACGACAGGACTAGCATTAAGTTGGCAGCACCGACAGTACTTCTTAACAGCAAAGGAGGTCAACTGCTGCCTCTACCTGCTTGAAGCAGTCTATGTATATTGGCCCTTAACGCAATGTTGGTGCGTGGGGCGGTGCGTTGACTCGTGGTATCTCAGCATCCGCGCGCGCCCACGCACTCTCGCGCCAATTTGTGCGTGAGCAATCCACCAACACCCGGCTATGTCACACTCAATTTTATAATGCACTCACATTAGCCTCATTTAACTGACTTTTTAAACGACCGAATTAAATACACCGCAATGGCTTGAACAAAAATGAGACAAATGTACAATGTATGCTTTTCGAAGAATCGTCAAAAAGACCACTTTTCGACGACGTGCTTAGGTCTAAGAAAGGGCAAGCCAATAGTCAATTAGGTATACAAGTTGTGTAGTGAAAATAATGACTTAATAAAAAAATCTAATTAAAGTACGAAATAATAATCAGTTTCAAACGTGTTGGTCGGTTGTTATGCCGACATGAACGCATTAAACGTAAAATCTTTTCAGTCTAGTTAACTTGAAAGCGATTAGATAATACGTATTTTTGTAGTTTCCTATCTGCGCGAGGTGTTACCACTTAGCACTGTATTCAAGTTTACTCGCCTCTCTGTTTTATTTATTAGCCGGCATTATATTTATTTATTGCACAACGAAGAAACGTTTACTTTGAACTACCTATGTACTTAATAAGTAACTTAATGTATTGTGATATTTTTTATCTTTTACATACTCATAAATAGATCAATGCCATAAAAATAAGACAGATTTTTACGTAAAGTAGTTTATTTCCGATCAAAATTTAAAACCAAGCATATGCATAAAGATTTTTATGTACTAAGATACCGGGAACTAGTATTAGTAGGTATAATTCTGATCTATGATGACACATACAACATACATAGTTTAATTAGCTCTAAACCGTCTGCTTCACGTAGGATGCGCGTCACCTGCGGTTGATCTGGCGGGCGGGATGACTAACGCATTATTTGCTACGACTGACTATCAAATTATTATGCAAGCGAGAAACCAAACAAGCACACTTGCGCCATACGGTGACCGTACATACCAGCTGTAACATCTCCGAAACTTACGATCGACAGACACTTGAATAAATATTTATTTAAGACCTCCTTCGGTTAACGTAAGGTGAATGCACCTTACCTTGGCCCTCACAATGTTATTTATAAATTTAAAATTTTCTAAACTCTTAAATCAGAGCGTATTCGTTTAGTAAGCGAGAGCTTCGGGCGGCCTTGACCCTTACAAAGCTTGCGAAACATCTCCACTGGACCGGTATTGATTTCGTCCTTTTATAAGATGTCGACGAACTGGTGAAACCGTATGCAATCGCTGCTTTGTTGTTTTCCAATTAGATGATTTTTTTGTACAATACAATGCAATTCTTTAGATGCATTCATTGTATTATGCGTTTTTATCTAACCTCTTATAAATTGTTAATTTTTGTCATAAAAAATTTCATTTTATTATAAAATTATTATATATAAACAATTTGTATATAATAACTGATACAGTTTTTTATTACTATATTTTTTTGGTATTGTAGTTTGAGAGGTTCAAAGTGAACTTCTCTTTCGCAATCTTGTTAAGTTTGAGTGAGAATGAGAGATGTAACTCTTTTCATAACATGGTGGCTTTATGTATCCTTATAAAAGTAGTAGCTCTCGGAACAAAACTTTATGGAACCTTATTCATTTTATATTTCATCAATCGTAACTTCAAACTTTTTAAAAGTGCCAGCCTTTAATTTAATTAAAGGCATTATTAAAATGGTTATTTTATGTGAAACATGTAAAGAAGACAAATGTTACAAAACTGTGGAGCGCTTGAAATTATGAAAAGTGCAGAAAACAAATTTTACGCTGATGAAAAAAGGGTCTCTTATTCAAAACACTATTATATGTAACCAGTGCTAAACAAGTAAACCTCCTTATATAAAGAAAATATACAGTTAACTAGCATAAGCAGTATCACATATATGTATATCTATGTACATGTGGATATGAGTCAACAGTGCCGTCATAATTCACATACAAGTAAATATTCACATTATACAGTTCTGCTAAGTGCCATTACTGTTTATTTTGTCTTTTCAAACCTGGAGTGCTCTTCACTATTTATTTTCCTTAAACCTACCCTCAGATGGTAAATCACTCCCCCTCCTCCTCCATATTGTAAACAATTTATCTACAAGATTTCCATTTTATATACTTCACATACAACCATGTTATTTACTTTCTATGACAAAATATATATATATATTTTCTCAACTTACTTTTCTGTCAGGTACTGGGACATCCAATAAATCACCTCTCCCGGCAACTCGGCCTCTGTGATTGTGTACCCATCGATGTTAACTGGTAGCTGGTCCTCATGGTTCACAGTCGCCGCAAAATTTTCAAAAAATACTCGATAGCACGTCAAATAATCATCTTTATCACCCATTTTCAAACACTTTAGTACACAAAAATTATATTCGAAATTTTGAAATCGATCAACTGTTGTTATGAGCTCGACGAAAAGATAAAGTATATTTACACGAGATATATGCAGTAAATAGTAAGTACTCTTTAATACCTAATATCTAACATCACATACTACTAAACAAAGTTACTTAGTTTGTGTGGAGTTGAATTAAGTTGATAAAAATCAAAACATTCAATTCACATCTCGCTCACACACGTCACTCCACCAACAAAAGTAATCACCATTAAAAAAGCAGAGACACAGGACAGGGATCTCTATTTGCCAAAAAGATATAGAGTACCACTATATACTGTATCTATGGTTTAGTTTATGCCCAACCGTCAGAATTAATTTAATTGTCAAATAATGCCGAAACTTGCCGTATAATTCATAATCCATAATAAGAATTATAAGTAATATTTCCCACAGTTTTAGTGTAATAGGATTGATCCTGTTAAACATTAAAAAGTTTACGAAGTTTGTACGACACTTAATAGAAGGTTCGGGATTCATCTTATTATGATGTACTACAGAAATTAATTATGTTTACTATCTTCACAAAATTAATAATGGCTATCAATATATAGGGGTATCATTATCACGATTGCAAAGACGTGACTTGATGATAAATTTTATCACACCTTTGACTTATAATCCCTAAAATTGTATTTTGATAACCATTAATTATCAGACAGTCGTCAAGTTCTAGATAATTAAAAGGCTTACAGTTTATTACTATTACTATAATATAAAAGATTAATTAATTTCAGTTATATAGACAAATTATTTCATTTAGAGATTCTTTGTAACTTGAGCATAATAATGGCACCTATCCAAGGAAAGTATCAACATTATAAAAATGAAAATATTGAAGACTATTTTGTTGCAGTTGGTGAGTTCAATGACACTGATATTATTATCATTATTCTAATTATATTAAACATATTGACCTAACTGTATCTTTATAGCTTTTAACTGTTTAAGAACTTACATAATTTCATACTGCCAACTCTTTCATTACCTTTGATAGAATAGAGACAATAACATGTAAGAATACAAATAGGTGATGGGGTAGTGAAATTTAACAGTATATGTTGACAGGTGTACCATACATTGGTCGAAAAATGATGTCAATGTCTTCACCATTAATGGAAATAACATTTGATGGAGAAAATATGACAATAAAGAATTCATCATTACTCAGAACAGTGGAACAGAAATTTAAAATTGGTGAAGAATATGAGGAACATATGCCTAATACTACTATTAAGGTATAGCATGTTTATTTGCAAACTTTTTATTTGGTGAATTTTTTGCTTTTATAATTTACTAACTGTCATCAGTGACACCAACATCCGTTCAGCAGTTTTGGAGATATATTCAAACAAACATCCATCCATCCATCTAAACATTTGCATTTATAATATTAATAAGATTAGTTCTAATTACTATAAAAAGGAGTAAAAGTGTAGGTTTTTACATATGTATAGTGTATTGTGCAGTAGTGGATTGATAAAGGCTGATGAAAGTATTTCCATTTTCTGTTTCTTACTGTGAACTGTCACTGACATGAGAGAAATCCATTAACCCTTAATTCAATGGTGTCCAGTGTGACTGACTAATTAAAAAAAATCTACTGAACTAGTTTAGAGAAAAATATGTTAGCATGACTTTACTAAAAAAAAACAGTTTTTTGCTACAAAAAATTCGTCGAATTAAGGGTTAAAGAAATGTTGAATCTCAAACTATTAATAAGTCTTTTCACTAGAATAAGTTACATTATTTAAACATTTTTAGTGAATTTCTCTATCATATTTTGTATATTTGTGTATTAAATATTTTAATTTATTTTAGAGTGTTACAACTATTGTAAATGATAATGAAATGATGACAAATTCTGTAATACCAGAAAATCAAGCCAAATGTGGGCGACATTATTTATTCACTGAGGATGAATGTATTGTTGTAAGTATAATTTTAAATTAAATTTGTTTAGAGAAAGTATTAATAAAGAGAATGGCACATAAACGCAATTTTGACCTCATAGTGTTTATTCAAACGCAAATTGCAGAGTATTTCTACTTCACATGTGGTTATTAGTAGGTAATATTTATCTGGACATTATTTAATTATCAGACATCGTTTTTGGCTTCGTTGCTGTTTTATTTGTTAATGTATTTATAATAATTTTACAGACACTAACCCATGAAAAGGCCAACACACCTGGCAAGCGTTACTTCCGCAGAGTTAAGGAATAAACAGCTCAAATCTATGAAACATCAAGCATCACAACTCATTGTATTGTTTATTCTTTGGAAATGTAATTTTGTGATAGTTTTTATATTAACATACTATCTTTATGCTTAAACTGTGGATACTTAAAGTTTTGTAATGGGATAATCATTTTAAATAAGGGTTTTATATTTTTTTTACTGCCAATTCTTTATATTTTATTTTTACAATTTATAGTTAAGAAATATGTATATTATATAATGAGAGTTTAATGGTTATTTAATTTTTATGTGTTACATATTTCGAGTTTTTAAATACATATATTTAAATCTAGGTAATCATATATCACAAAGTTGGTGATTATCTAGATTACACATTATATTTTTTGTCTTTTTTTAAAATTCCCATTTTAAGTTAAAATATAATTAAATGTTTGAATACAGTAATACTGTGAATTTTACAATCTTCATACTTTGTGTTTGAATACTTTTGTCTAATAATTTTCAGTTTAGCTCAACACAGTCACTAACTTTTACTGAGGCTAGTGTAGGATAGAGAATAATTTTTATCTACCCTTGCTTGCTAAATTGGTCATTGTTGGTTTCTGAGCCCAAAACTTCTGTATATTTTACATAGAGATTTTGGTCTGTGAAACCAATGATTAATGGGTTGGGATCAATGTATGTTTTAGTGAAATTTGACAATATCGCTTATACTACAGTCAGCTGAGTACTTTGTATATAAAATAAAGTGTTTATAGTATTCTCTGTTCTCTCACTTTTGATCATGCTGACATCTATATTGGACAAAAGGCAGTTTTTCTTCCCATCTTACTTGCATTATAAATTCGAATATTTGAATGGAAGTTTGTAAGATGGTATCTTCGGAAAGGCTACTTGGATCTCGCTGACATTTGACATAGTCTGGAA